AGCTCACAGGAACAGTGGTCAGGGATGATGGGAATTGTAGTTCCAAACATCTGGAGGGACGGAGTTTGCCTATGCCTGTCCTAGATTCCCAGGTTTGTTTTTTAAAAGGTCAGCAGCATAGGTAACGTTTGCACCGATTAGAGAAGAGAGGCACAGGATCTTCAAATTAAAGTACACCTTCAAAACGAGCTGTATTGTTCTTTGTTATTTTTTTAAAAAATACATTGTTATTAATTTTAACATACAAATTATAAAACGTACCACACAAATTATTACAAATACACTTTTTTTGGACTTCCATCAGCACCTGCGATGATCTTCCGTCTTACCCTCTTTGTATGCATTACTTAATTTTGTATTGTCTTTACCTCTCTTAACTTATCATCTCCCCTTTCCCATTTTTACAATATTTCCAACGTATTGTTCTTTGTTATTATTGGGTGCCCTACAAATCCCGATAAATCATTTGACTTGGGTAAATTCCAGTGGTGTTCTGGTTTTGCTGTTTTGGGAAACTTTGGCCAGAGATCATTGTCCCGCATTGGTTCTAGTAGCACCTGAAGTCTGCCGACCACTTTTATGAACCCAAAACATCTCAGCAGGGCTTCATTGCAGGCAACGCTTTTGAGAAACGCGGGCGTGTCAATATCCATCCATACCTAGAAGGAGGATCTTCTAGGTGGTGATGAATTGCACATAGCCCACGAGGATTTTGAAATGCAGCAGCCCTCAAGGCCATATCCTATCTCACCTATTGCTCAATGTGTTTGCAATCTCTTGATTTAAGATTAATCCTATATGTAGAATAGAAGCCTCATTAACATGTTGATGATATACATCAGTACAATTCTTTCCCAATCAGAACCTGCAAATTCATTAGCTACTATGAAGAAATGAGTGGAGGACATTGCCAATTAAGGTGCCCCGATGGCTTGTTCTCTACCATGAGAAAGCTGAGGTGCTTGTATTGAGAGTGCCATTGATATGAAGCAGCCGGCTCCCTGTTTCAAATCATTTGTACAGAGGTAATGCAATAGAGTTAAAACCATGCCTTTCCCATAGGAAACCTTTGTGTGTTGGCTGTGTTATGGAACATTTTTCCCTGCCTGATCCTATGGTGTAGTCTCTTCTTGCACTTGTTTCATCTCAAGATCTCATTAGTGTAATGTCACCTCTCTCATGACTGCAAAGCTAAGTTGTTTTGATTTTCCCTTATTAGCAATCACTAATTTTCCTTTATGTATTTATTTTGGAAGTTAACGATCCAGCTGTTTGCTGTTTCAACAGACTTTGTTATCATTGCTTTCACCCTGGTTTTGAGATGGGGTGCAAATAAAATGACCAAATATGCACACTATTAAATAAGGACACTTTCACCCAAGGCAGAATCAGGTGAAAAACCCTGGATGCCAAATGTTAATATATATCGTCTTTAATATAGAGTTTTCTGGTCAGCCGGTTGGAGCCAAAGCTCCACTGCAGACCATTTTGACAGGTAGGTGGGGCATCTCACCTGACAATTGCTTGGTGTCACCATGCTGCAAAAGAACGAATCGAGAGCACACTCCTAAGTGCACTCTCAGTTATTTCCTTTCTTCCTTTACAACCCAGCTTGAGGTAAAGCTGTCGATGCAAAGCAAAAACCATTCCTTTGCAGCCCAGTTTAAACTCAAACTGGGCTTCAAAGGAAGATCCCTGCCAGTGCCCATCAGCTCTCAGTAGTGATTGGCTTCACTTGGGAGCTTCTGCCTGGAAACTCCCAAGGGCAGCTAATCCCAACACCAGTCAGCTGATTGACACTGACTGCAAGCCGTTCTCGCCAAGGAACAATCAGGAGCGCACTTTAAGGCTCCCATTTGTTCCTCTGCATCTTCACCTTCACCACACCTGACTTTTGACAAGCATCAGGTGTAGGGAAGAGGCACTCCTTGGCAAAGGAATATGTCGCAACATCTTGTTTTAATGCCCTATTTGTTGTATAGTTAGACATAATAAAAAATAGCCATCATTGGAGCGGAGAATTGAAGGACGGGGGCTTCATTGGGGTAGGGAGCTGAGGGAGAGGAACTTCAGCTATTATGAATCTCTGGACCATGGGCCAAATTAGGCATCCTAGGGTGGTGCTGTGGGTTAAACCACAGAGCCTAGGACTTGCCGATCAGAAGGTCAGCGGTTCGAATCCCCGCGATGGGGTGAGCTCCCGTTGCTCGGTCCCTGCTCCTGCCAACCTACCAGTTTGAAAGCACATCAAAGTGCAAGTAGATAAATAGGTACCACTTCAGCAGGGAGGTAAACGGCGTTTCCGTGCGCTGCTCTGGTTCTCCGGAAGCGGCTTAGTCATGCTGGCCACATGACCTGGAAGCTGTACGCCGGCTCCCTCGGCCAATAAAGCGAGATGAGCGCCACAACCCCAGAGTCGGCCATGACTGGACTAAATGGTCAGGGGTCCCTTTACCTTTAAGAACAGGATACTGAACCTGGTGGGCCTTTTGGGCGATCCAGGAAGCTCCACTCCCATTCAGGTACTGCATCCTTTTGAAGAATAGGCCATGGAGACAAACAGTGGATCAGGCTGCTTTCTTTGTGCTGTCCTTGTGGGCTCATGGACTGCTTGGCTGAATCCATCAAAGCTCTTCTAAGGGACGCATTCCTCTCCCCACACCTATCATATGTATGCAGTGGTTCATTTCATTTGTATGTGGACCATGTATTGCACCAGTCTAATCCCTTCCTAGGGTGATCTCAGTGAATTGACACAAAGCAAATTTATTACTGCCCATCTACAAAGTCGGTGAGGTGTCTCAATGGAACCTTTGGAGAAGGCGTCCGTTTAAAAAATCACGTTGACCTCTGGACGTGGTATGCTTCAGGCTGTCACTGACTTAATGTGTTGCACATCTCTCCTGGCTTGTCAGTTGCTCTATTACCTAAACACCCATTAGATGCTCAGTGTAGCCATTGCAACAGACATAAGTCTGCAATATCTTCACCTCTAAATAAGAACTCGTTTCTCTCATTCCCCCCCTTTGCTGCCGTTTGCTGATACGCTAATTAATTTCAGTATGGCACTGCCCGTGTAGCACCTTTTAAAAAATTCAGAGTAGCTGCCACATCTGTGAGATTCCTGGAAGCCAGAAGTGCGTAGAGCTGAACCTGTGTCAGCAATGAGGTGCAAAACTGATACTCAATATATAAATAGAATTAGTTCTGAATTGCATATTACGTCATAGCTGTCAACTTACAGATTTGAAAATAAGGGACCAGCAGCCTCGAAAATAAGGGATCAGCAGCCAAAATAAGGGATCAACAATTACTTTGATAAAATACCTATTTTGTTGTGTGCAAATGGCTTTAGATACCTATTAGGTCCATAAATTACCATATAGCATATATTCAACACAAAAACAGCAACAATTTGTTGTTGACAAAGGACAGCTGGACATAGAAAGGGCCCCATTACCTTCAGTAGCTTATTTAAGGGACATCATCAATAAGGGACAGCAGCAGGACATGGCGCTGGGATAAGGGACTGTCCCACCAAATAAGGGACGCTTGACAGCTATGTATTACGTGCCCACAGTCGTACTGAAACTAAGTTAGCTCCAAGGTGTCTGTTGTGATACTGGTGCTACTCCTCTGAAAAAGTGGTCCAGCTGTGTCCTTCAACTTTGGGTCTCCAAATGTTGGACTTCAGTTCCCATGATCCCTGCCCAGCTTAGCCAGTGGTCAAGGATGATAGGAGTTGTAGCCCAAAAACATTGGTGAACCTGAAGGTGAAGAACACTGAGCTGGATTGAAGCCATGAAGTTCCGAACAATTCCAGGACAATATCACCCTATACTGAAAGATGGTGGGTGTGGGAGTTGAAGCTTTGGAAGGATTTGGGTTTGCTATGAATGGGTATGATTAACTTTAAAATTATTACTTCAGAAAGAAAGGAGGGCTGGCTTTAGGTTTCAGGGGGCCTTCAGGAAAGTTCTCTCTGGTGGGCCTCTCCTTAATTCTCAGCTCTCCAGCAGAAGTGGCAGGCCGTCACAAGCCTCCATTTTAAATTTCCCAGTCTCTAGGGATGGGGAACCTGTGATTGTCAATAAATTGCTAGACTCCAGCTGCCATCAGCTGTAGCCATCGTGTCCCGTGGTCAGAGATCATGGGAGTCATAGTCCAACAACATCTCGAGGGCCGCAACTTTGCTTCCCATGGTCTAAAATTCTATACAGTGGTACCTTGGGTTAAGAACTTAATTCGTTCCGGAGGTCCTTTCTTAACCTGAGGTACCATTTTAGCTAATGGGGCCTCCTGCTGCCACTGTGCCGCTGCTGCACGATTTCTGTTCTCATCCTGAAGCAAAGTTCTTAACCCGAGGTACTATTTCTGGGTTAGCGGAGTCTGTAACCTGAAGCGTCTGTAACCCGAGCTACCACTGTATAAGCATGAATGTTATATAGTGATGTACTGTGTGGGTCCTGTGAGACCAGAAGTAGCAACAAGTTTCCTATCTGCCTAGCTCTCCATTGGAGTACAAAGGCAGGAGATCTCATTGTTAATCTCACAAGACATGGACATTTCACCAGCATTGTCTAAAGCAGAGGAAGCCAAGGTTTTCACTTCCATCTGCTGTTGGGTTAGAGCTGTCATCATCCATGGTAGCTGAGGCTGATGGTAGATGGATTAGTCACCTGGTTGGTGTCGTGAGAACAGGATGCTGGACTAGGTGGACCAATGCCCTTTTATGTTTTAATAGAGTCCTGCAATATCTGGAGGCTGCCATTTTGGCTATCCCAAAGAGAAAACAGAAAGTGAAAGAAACTCTACAGTCTTTGTAGGACACAACCTCGATTTTTGCAGCCAAAGCATCTGAAAATTGGGGAGAGGGTGCTATTGGGAGGGGAGGGGTGGTGAGAAGAAGTTCATTCCTCACCTACCACGTCTCCCCTGCTCCTCTCTAGCAGTCCCTGCAACCCAAAGTAGGTATCCTTGTCTCCTTTCAATTGGTGGGAGAGCTCAGTTGACAGAGCATGAGACTCAATCTCAGGGCCGTGGGTTTGAGCCTCATGTTGGGCAGAAGATTCCTGCATTGCAGGGGGTTGGACTCGATGACCCTCGGGGTCGCTTCCAACTCTGTGATTCAAGCTATGATTCAAGTAATTGGGGGCAGGTGCCAGCTTAAGAAAGGAGAAACTCCCCTCTCTCCCAGCTCCCACTTCCCCTATTCAGGTTATGCCCTCTGCTGCTTTTTTGTTGTTTAGTGATCGGTTTCTTAGACCTCGTTCTGCAGCCGATTGTCTAATTCAGCCCCTTGCAATGACGTATCAAAGTGTTGGCCATCATGTGAAAATGTTCTGATCCACAGTACCAGTCGTGCTTTGCTGGGTACCTAGGAAGCTGCCTTATAAGATAGTTGTCTCGCCAGAATGGTGCATGCTCTAGTTATCTCCTGCTTGGACTACTGCAATGCGCTCTACGTGGGGCTACCTTTGAAGGTGACCCGGAAACTGCAAATAATCCAGAATGCGGCAGCTAGACTGGTGACTGGAAGTGGACCACATAACACCTGTCCTGAGAGATCTGCATTGGCTCCCAGTACATTTCCGAGCACAATTCAAAGTGTTGGTGCTGACCTTTAAAGCCCTAAACGGCCTTGGTCATGTATACCTGAAGGAGCGTCTCCATCCCCATCGTTCTGCCCAGACACTGAGGTCTAGCTCTGAGGGCCTTCTGACGGTTGCCTCTTTGCGAGAAGTGAGGTTACAGGGAACCAGGCAGAGGGCCTTCTCGGTAGTGGCGCCTGCCCTATGGAACATCCTTCAGATGTGAAGGAAATAAGCAGCTATCTTATCTTTAAAAGATATCTGAAGGCAGCCCTGTTTAGGGAATTTTTTGATATTTAATGCTGTATTGTTTTTAACACTCGATTGGGAGCCGCCCAGAGTGGCTGGGGAAACTCAGCCAGATGGGCAGGGTATAAAATTATTATTATTATTATTATTATTATTATTATTAGTCCATTTAGCTCAGTGTTTGTCAACACTGGCTGGCAGTGGCTCTCCAGCTTTTCAGACAGGGAATCTTTCTCAGCCCTCTCTAGAGACGCCGGGGATTGAACCCAGGGATCTTTTGCATGTGATATCCCAGTGAGTTACAGCCCTTCCCATGCAACTGATAGTCTTAGGTAGGAGTGCGAATCTGCCATTCAGTGGGAATCTCCACCAAGTTGTGTGCAGACCAGGAGTGCATTCTGGCATATATACACATTATTGTACATGCAGGTTGCTCATATGAGGATGAGAAATTGATATAACGAGTATGATTGCTGGCGCTTCATTCAGATGACTAGAAACAGTACAGTGTTTTGGGAAAACACAATGATAGCCTTTCGTTATTAATTTTTGGTGGCGTTCTTTTGCAAATTGGTTGCCGTTTCTACTTGCAAACTACCTCCGTTGAAATCTGCGAGCCCTTACTTTGGGATTTTGTCGGCAAAAGTAACAGAAGCGAACTTCAATTAAGGAGTGTCATCACACCGACTCCTCCAAATTAGGCAACACCTGATTTAAGATGGCAATAAAGTTATCAGACGTTTTAAGAGTAAGTTCATTACCATTTTCCCTTCTCAGGAAATGTGTGATTGAGTGATTAGATGTAGTGTAATACACACACACACACACACACACACACACACACCTGATGGATGCCCTGTAGGTATTAAGTCAAATCAGTAATGTGGCCAAATTTAAAAATAGTTCTTTAAATGAAACACAATTGGATTCTGCTGCTTCCAGTGAGTTTCGGCAGCTGTTTCAGTCCTACGTGAAAGTGAAATTTTGGATCTGAGAGTGTGGTTTGCATCCAACTAAGTATTGCTCAGAGAAGAACCAATGAAATTAATGGATGTGCAATAGTTGTCTCCATTAGTTTCACCAGGTATATTCTAAGTAGAACGTTGTTTGATACAGCCTTGTAGCTATGGATTGGTTGACCTCTGTTATCCATTTGCCTTGGGAGACAATGGAAGGGTGTGCCTTCAGCCAAATCATTGGAGGCTTGCAGCACCTGCTGTGGCTGTAGAGACCGATACGGGAGAGACATGTTTTGATGCAGCTGGGGTAGATGAAGTTCTTCGGTTCTGCTGATGCAGGTGCAATGAACAGCTTTGATTCTCCGTGAAAGAAATGAATCTTATAATAGAAGTCTTCGCTTACAGTTGCAGTTGAAATTGCTCAACCCCCGTTGAAAACCAGGTTTATTATCAAAATTTGCAGACGTTCAGCTGTTTGCAATGGGCATATCAAACAAAAGCAATTGGAATAGCTCAACACAACGAATGCTTCAAGTGGTTCTCCCAAATTCATCTGAAAATGCAATTTATACTGGCTTCTGCAGTCTCACACTGATTCAACCCCTGAACAGAAAACCTCACAACAGCACAAATACAACCGGTGTCATCTCACGCACACCTGATGCAGTTGATCAAGGGCTTAATTAGTTGCACCAGGTGTGCTTGAGCTGGAACACATGAAATACCTGAACTGAAACCCCCTTCCCCTTTAATGGCAGGCTATAGTTGTCATTTAGTTAGGCAAGGAATCTAAATAAAGTTGTTCCGATTGTCAGGAATTGCCAGAGCAAGAACTGAGTGCATGATTTGCCCTTAGTGTAAGGGATGCTATAGTTCAATGGCAGAGCATCTCGTTTCAGGCAGAAGGTCACAGCTTCAATCCCCAACATCTCCAGGTAAGTACAGTGGTACCTCAGGTTACATACGCTTCAGGTTACATACGCTTCAGGTTACAGACTCTGCTAACCCAGAAATAGTGCTTCAGGTTAAGAACTTTGCTTCAGGATGAGAACAGAAATCGTGCTCCGGTGGCGCGGTGGCAGCAGGAGGCCCCATTAGCTAAAGTGGTGCTTCAGGTTAAGAACAGTTTCAGGTTAAGTACGGACCTCCAGAACGAATTAAGTACTTAACCTGAGATACCACTGTAAGGCTAGGAGAGACTCCTTCCTGAAGCCTTGGAGAGACACTGTCATATATAAGAAATAAAGGAAACAATAAAGCACAATTTAAAAACAGCATTGAGACCGGAACGTTATAATTTCTACACAGGCAAGACCCTCAGCAATTTTCATTTTCTTTTTTATAAATGTTTTTATTAGCAATTTCAACATATCACAACATATCATATTCATCCCCCCCCTGTTTCCCCCCACCCTCTCAACCCCCCTCCCCTCCCCCAGAGACTTCCCTCAGCTGCTCTCTCTGATTTCTCAGCACATATTATTCTCTGCATGATATAAAATTATATGAATCCTTACATTATCTATCTACCATGTTGTCAATCAATAAATTTGTGTAAAAAGTAAAGTGAAGTGACCCCTGACCATTAGGTCCAGTCGTGGCCGACTCTGGGGTTGCGGCGCATTTGTGTATGTTTATTCAAAACCTGCCAAGGAGTCCAGTTCATTTTGTTGTCTTTTTAAGTAATTTGTGAAAAGTTCCCATTCTTCTTTGAAGTCGCAGTTGTCCTTGTCTCGTAGTTTGTATGTCAGTTTAGCCACTTCTGCGTAGTTCATCAATTTCTCTTGCCACTGTTCCTTTGTCAGGGTTTCCTCATTCTTCCATCCTTGTGCTAACAAGACTCTTCCCGCTGTTGTTGCATACATAAATAAATTCTTTGTTTTCCTTGGCAGGTCTTGTCCTATCATCCCTAACAAAAATGCTTCTGGTTTTTTAAACAAATGTCATTTTAAACATTTTCTTCAATTCATTATATATCATTTCCCAAAATTTGTTAACTTCTCTACATTCCCACCACATATGATAAAAAGTCCCTTCTTTGACCCTCAGCGATTTTCAAGTGGTCTGTGGGGGGAGTTGGGAGTCAATGCTCTAGAGAGGTACCATTTTTGGTGGCAAACTTAACACTTTTTGTTGCACTCCCTTCCGCTAGAGAAAATACACTGGACATGCTATTGAGCATCACCGACCCCAACAAATGTAGTCCATCAATACACCTGTGCCTGAGAAGTTCAAGGTGGTTGCCTCATTGACAGCATCATGGCATTTTGGTTCTGGATGATATAAAGACATCTTGTTCTCTGAGTCCAGCTTAGCAGAGATACTGTGAGAATGCTTGCAAACACCATGTGAATTTCAACACACATTCAATGTGTATGCTCTGTACAGGGAAAGTGTGTGTGTAATATATATAAGGGCGGAGGCTTCTAGAGTGCAAAGGGTTGTTTTTGTGCAACAACTATATGAGTAAGAGAGCAATGAAGCTGTTTTAAAAGGGGGTTAGGCACATTCAGGGAAAATATCAATGGCTATTACCTGAGACGGGTATAAAGAACCTCCTAGTTTGTATCTGTGAGTACTGATTGTCAACAGAGAAATAACAGGGAGGATTACGGCCTTCCCAGGTGCATCTGATTGGCTGCTATGGAAAGCAGGGTGATGGATTAGACAGATATTTGGCCTGATCAATGGGACTCTTCTTAAACCCTGTAGAAAAAGAGCCAGGGCTTTATTTATTTAATTTATATCCCACTTTCCCTCCGAGGAGCTAAAAGTAGTATACAGTGGTACCTTGGTTCTCAAATGCCTTGGTTCTCAAACAACTTGGAACCCAAACACTGCCAACCTGGAAGTAAGTTTTCCGGTTTGCAAACTTTTTTCGGAAGCCAAAACGGGCTCCATTTTGAGTATTACTTTTCCAATTTGAGTGCTACACTTCCATTTTGAGTGTTACGCTGAGGTCTGTCTGTTTTTGCTATTTATTTTGTGTTTTTGTTTTTGCAGCTCTCTTGGGGTTTTTTTTGTGACTGTGTGGAACCCAGTTCAGCTACTGATGGATTGGTTGTGTGACTGCAGTACATTGTTTATTGCTTTCATTTTATGGATCAATGGTCTCATTAGATCGTAAAATCCATGTTACATTGCTATTTTAGGGGTTGTTTTTAAAAGTCTGGAACAGATTAATCCGTTTTGCATTACTTTCTATGGGAAAGCGTGCCTTGGTTTTGGAACACTTTGGTTTTGGAACGGACTTCCGGAACGGATT